AAATATTTACACAATTTAATTAAACACACCTTTTACGACTATTCATTAAGTGTTGTAATTTTTAACAAATGCAAAATGTTCAATTTATTTATAATAAATTTTTAAATTTGTTTTGATATTGTTTAACATTAATTTAATTTATTTAATTATTTGCTGATATACTATTTATTGATGGTTCACAACTTCGAGTTCTGAATTTTTAATTTAATTATATCATTTATCATTTTCACATATAAAATACAATAAAATACTTTCTATTATCATATTTTTTTTATATATTACTCATATAATTAATTAAAATAATACACATTTTTTGAAGAGACTAAATTTATCTTAAAATTTAATTTTACACTTAATAACTAAATTTTCTATTTTATTTACAAATCTTGCTTAAATTTTAATTAAATTGAATATTTTTCTTAATCAAAAAACTAGAAAAAGAACTCAAAATATTTTAGAATTCAATATACAGAGCGATTCAGTCACGTCTTCTGCAATACGACGAGCAAAAGGATCAGCAGCAGATAATAAATATTGGGACAGTAGGTGCTTGCAGCAGACATAATAGCCGATGCGGAATACTCGCCTGCAAATTAAATGTCATTCATGTGTAAATTATAAATGTGCTTTCCCTTCCGTTTCATATTTGAATTATTGAACTTACCACTTAACACATGCAAGTCAACCGAAACCGAAGCACTGTTCGATGGCTGGCAAGTGTAATTGCCTGAATCCTTTTTGCGCACAAATGGTATAATCAATGAACCAATCTTGGAAAGAAGTAGAACAAAAGATCAATAAAGTATGAAAACAAAAAAAATTATTTATTACTATAGACATTCGACATTCAAAAAGGATGGAAGAATGAAATAAAATACTCATTCACATTGGATGAAAGCAATATTTTGTCATAAATGAAAAACAACGCTATGAATAAAATAAAATTGAAAATCTTACCGTATTTTGATTATCGGTTGCATTGCCAAAAATATGTCTATCGATCTCTGTATACCAACCAGATTTGTTATCATCTGTTACTTGAGTCTGACCCTTGAACCAGATAATATAACTGGGAGGGTCCAAAGTACCACGTATGATGCAATGAAGTGCCACCTTACTGCCTGCTTTAACGAAGCGATTTTGATCACCAATAAGCTCAGTTGTTGGCACTAAAAACAAATTAAGAAAAAAATATGAATATTAAGTACTGAATTTTATGCAAATAAAATATATTAATATTGAATATTAATATTAAATATCACTAATATTATAGTGAATATTATATATATTCACTCTGTCTTGTGCAAAGTCATTGCAAAGTGCACGAAATGCAAGAATGCTATGCTAAAATTGCAAATGTGCAAGAACTCCACTGTTGCAGAATTGCAGTTACAGCAGCTGTTTTTGCAGCTGTGGTTGTAGTACAACCACATGAGTCGCAACAGATGGCAAAACAGCTGTTTTTTTTCGTCTTTTATTTTGTTGCAAGCATATATACATGGGTTTAGATATAGTAAGGCAATTCCAAAAAACTTTGCACGTGTATTTTATTGTTATCCAAACTCGCACAATCTGTGCATTACGTGCATCTTGCAATGAGTTTGCAAGCCAGCCTGAATATCCCTATTTCTCTATATACAAAATATATGTATAAAATTTATTAATTAACTTAAATAAAGAAACAATATGTCAAATAAATAATAATCAATATTTTAAAGCGCGTGCGCGACTATACTGACGATTACTTCGGACTATTTCAACTCTTTAATGATTACTGTACTATACTATTGTATAAATATTTACAAATATATATTAAAATATTATAAATATTACAAATCCAATATATCCAATATAATAAATGATATAAACTAAAATTAAAAAGATATATATATATATAAAGTTAAATAAATATAAAAAAATATGTATAAACAATACAAATATTTAATGTGAACCGAAATAATTAAGATTATTATTAACAATCAATTAAAAAGAATTATATAAAATAAGAATAGGACATTAGGACGAATGACATTCTCAGGGACCTTTAAGATTGATCCGATCAAAAAATACATAAAGGATAGTGCCTTGAAATTATTTGTGAAAACTGACAGACTTACCAACACCGCGTTATCAAATCTCAGAATGGTTACAGGCTCCTCGGGTAGGTATGCAGATCTGAGGTCAATTATTGGTTAGTCTAATGAAATGATAAACAATAGTCCCATCAAGGCGTAAAGAGGGGTTTTAAAAATACCTCGAGTTAAGAAAAAGTAAAAATGCTCAAGTGCACTGACTCAAATAGAAATAAATAAATAAAAATAGGAAGGTGGGTTTAACGAAACACAAATATCAATCACAATAGCGCTTAGAAGAGCATTAAATTGCCACGAACACCTTGTTAAATACATGAATAAAAGAATAATATGCTTTAATTTATAGTTATAAATTATAATAATAATCATAATAATATTATACTATTATTTTCTATTATATTAATATATAATTATTATATAATAGGACATTAGTCCTTGATAATATCAAAGAATGCTCTCTTTAGATTAGATGGATCATTGTCAATAGGGTTATGCAGTTTGAGTGCCTCAGCGTGTTTATGAAGTTAAATGTTACCTCTTAACAGATTGGTGGAAAATTTTTGTACCCTTCGGGAATTGAAATAACACGAAAGTTTCATGTTTGATTATTTCCTTCAAGTTATAACACTGTGACATAGCCAAATGTTTTGATCGTGTCATTAAACTTAAATCTGGTCTTCAAAGGTTTAGCATTTACATAACACATATTCAATTTTTCTTTGTTTCAAGCAAATTCAATTTTCCACATTTATCAATTTTAACTGGGGACATCTTAAAAATATATACATTCAAGAGATAATGGCTTGTGACTGCACCAATTATCACATTATAGTCTTTTCTATGAGGACAAGTAAACTAGAGTTTTGCATATAATCGTAAATTGGTTTCTTTACAGATACTAAGTCCTGGATCTCTATATTCATGTAATCTGTTATGGAACATATCGAATTGTAATATGCATTTAGAATACATATGGCAATATCAATTCAGTAATGGTAAATGTACGCTTAATTTAGCAAGGTATCAAACATCCCAATATCTCGCTGTCATACGAAACTTCCTTACGATCTATAATATATCAATAGTTCGCTTGCATTTGATAACACCCACGTGCCTTCTGCTCTTATGTCTGAAATAACAGATCATATAGAGCTTCGTTGCAAGCTAGAGTGAGTCAATAATTTGCTTGAATTTGATTACTCTTCTGGTAGAGTAGCTGCGGTCTTTGTAACCATCTGTCAATATAAAAATTCATTTTTGCATTCATTGCTGTATGTTCAGTATAAAGCTTCACTGCTTTTTGATTAACGAATATTTTCATTATACTGGTCCGACAGCAGGTGTGTGTTAATATTTAATTGCAAACAGTTGACTTTAATTTCTTCTCGTATTTTTGCGAAAACAAAACAAAATAAAATTAAATAAAAAAAAATTATAAATTCATTAAAATGAAATACACAAGAATGTCAAGGTATATGGTTCGTTTTAAATATCTTCTCAGTATTAATGTCTACCTTAACCTTTATTTGGTGAACCCTGACGCTTAGATAAATACTCTTGCTTAGCAGTTGCCTACAAAAAAATACCCATCATCACTCGAGAGAGTTATACAAAACCCTAATTAAGGAAAAAAAATTTTAAAATGCTTAATCTGAAGGAATTTTTACATTATAGTAAACCATGCCAAACGCGGAATGTTATTTAAGTGTACATAAAATAAACGAAACAAAACGTAGGCAGCGACTGCCGCCCAAAATTTTTCTCAGAAAATAACGCAGTTGACAGTGTCAGAGCAAAGTGAAACCACAACGTAAACAAAAGTTTTTAAAATAAACCTTGAGACCACAAAATTAAACCAATTCGGACACTACTTCAAATAGACCTAAAGACATTTAAAGTGTAAAACCCACTAGATATTTCCATGTTGCCGTTGCAAAGTGTTGGATCTAGTATCAATCAATCAAATAGTATCAATCAATT